AATCTTTCGAAGATCATCCGCTAGAAGTGACGTTCTAGTGTCCTCCGTCACAAGTTTATCACCCACAAGCATCAATATTTTTACTAGGTTCTCGTAAGACTTTGGCAATGAAAGAAGTAGTAGAAATGCTTGATCGTCATCATCTACTTTCACATCAATGTCCTTCAAGTCCGATATGCACCTATCAAGCTTGTTGACGTACTCTCGAATTGGTGTACCTTCGTCCATCTTGCAAGTATACAATTTGGACTTCAAATAGATCCGATTAGTTAGAGTCTTCGTCATGAAGTTCGTCTCCAACTTTGTCCACACCTCCGCTGCCGTTTTCTCACCATCAACCAAGAAAGCAACATCTCTTTCAAGGCATAGAATGATAGACGCTCGTGCCTCAAGATCTAGCTCTTCCCAATCCTCGTCAGACATATCTATGTGCTTCTTCTCCTTTCCCGCCAATGCCTTGTGCAACTTTTGATAAATTAACAAATTTTTCATTTGCATTCTCCAATATGAGAAGTCATTCTTCCCATTGAATTTCTCTATCTCATACTTCCCAATCTTCACCGTTCTTCGAGTAGACATGATTTATCAACTTGTTTACCGGAAATAAAACCACAAAGTTCACTTGGGAATTTTCACAAACACCTTGTGTGCACAACAAAGTTCAAGCCACCCACCAAAAAATCGGAGTTTAACCACTCTGATTTAAGAAGAAGCTCTGATACCAAATGGTTGGGAAAACAACACTCCCAAGATTGCCCAAGAAAGATAACTTGCAATGTGAAAAATCCCAAACCACTTCAAAGATAAGAAATTGGGGAAGAAATGATTTTTCAATATATATGAAGAACAATGGATTTGGATTACTTGAACAAGCCTCAAGTTAATCCCCAAAAAAGAAAAATAGCTATGAATTTATACCCAAGAAGAACAACCTCTTACTTGTTAAATTCTCTCCAAGCTCTCTCTATTTTTCTCTCAAAAAACCAGATTAACAATGAAGGGAAAAACAACAATATAAATAGAACTGAATCGGGCGCCTAGGCGCCAAGTTTCTGCCCTTCAGCAAAAACTGGGCGCCCAGGCGTCCACTCATGGCGCCTACGCGCCATCCCGAAGCAGAAACTGGGCGCCTAGGCGCCCACTCATGGCGCGTAGGCGCCATCCCTACTCACAATCTTAAAAGATCAACTTTGTTAAGAAAAGTAGTCCAATTCTTTATAAGTTGGTCTATGTTTTCATCTTTAATCAATATGTGATTTCATCCTTTATCACCTCCTACCACTGAAAGAGAAAAAAAGATAGAAAATTTCCCTCACTTTTTGTATGTTGTGATATCAAGTTTATAATGCCCCTTTTTATCTTTCATTTGCAGTGGAAGGTGCTTAGAGATCACGTGGATGAAATCGACCAGGAGGTGGCATAGAATTAAAAAGTTGTTGGGGGTCTGGCTTTATGTTTTAGGTATTAGCAAGGAAACTATCAAGAAAGCTCAATTAGAATTGATGTAACTAATGAAAAAGGCTAAATGATATCCTATTTTGTCAATTATCTTCGTAACTATAGTTATGTTAGTACAGGGCTTGCAGATGTATGCAACCGCTCCCATAGTGATACTTTTATGGTTGATATCATTTGGAATCCAGTTAATTATTAACCATTTTGCTCGTTTTTAATATGTGCAGAATCCAGCTTGACTACTTTCTAATTACTCGTGTTTCTTGATTATGAATTAAATTTTCTTCGTGATGCAAGAGGAATCAAGAATCTCAATTGGAAGGGAATTCTGTCTGTGACTCTTGTTGATTTCTGATTCAATGTGATAACCTGCACATATTCTAACTGATGTGGTTCGAAACAAATTTCATCTATATGTACAAGAATACATGTATATACCATGTTTTTCCGTTTACAAAGGCCTACTGTTGTCCTACCTACTATTTGAAGAAGAAGAAGAGAAACAAATTAGACATGGGATATGCTTGGAATACAATATTGGCTAGTCTATGTTGGCCGAACCTTGAGCATCTTCTGCTTGGGCCCTTTAATCATCCGTTCCTCGAAAGCCTTTGCATCATAAGGAATCCTGAGAATGCCTTCATTGCCGAAACCATATTCCTCAGCTGATCTACACAGCAACTCCAAGAATTCTGCATCACATAAAGCTGTGGTATGCACCATAAAACGCTTCGTTTCATCATTTACTCCAACTGCAACTGGAATATACCCCCTTGGCGCCGTTGAAGGTCCTTTCAAGCGCTTCACACTGCGTACACTCACAGATCTACTCATCTTACTGGCTTTCAGCCCCATAGCTTGCAAAAAAAGAAAAAGAAAGAAAACATACATGTCCGCCTGAACACGAAGATTTAATTTAAGGATGTCTAGTTTCCTGTCTTATTTTCACTGTGCTTATGTTTGATATTGATTAACAGTATTTTGGTCGTACATATGATGGCAACACGTGAATATATAATGCTTTGGATATTTTGGTATTGAAATTAGTTTAATGGGAATAGATTTGGTTGGACATGGAAATTGCATGCCGTTTCATCAACGTTGAAGATAATTATTGTTTTAAAAAGCATAAAGTATGACTATACATGAAAGTCAAATTTCAAGTTTTACAAGTCTAGGCTAAGTCTAGACGTAAAAAAGCATTACTTATTTTTATTAATAAGGCGAAGCGTGTTGCCCAAATTTACTATCAAGGCAAAGCATTTTGCCTGAACTTCGCGTCTAGGCAAACATTATAGAGGACTGATGTTATAATAAATTCTATCTGAATGCAGAATGAATTTCTTTTATAATGATTATTCCTAGAATTTAGGTACATATTAGAAAGAGCACCCTCACTTTGCAAATTGATTTTAAGGGCAAATTGGCCCCTCAGGACATAATTCAGTGGTGCAAAAGACAGGAGTAAGGTAGTGTTAGTCTTACTGGCAGCCGTAGTGTGAGAGTTCGATTCCTGAGATATGGAATTGGACTCTTTGTGGGCATCAGTGTAAAGACAAGTTTTTGTTCCCTAGTCTGATGGGGCACATATTGCGATTTACCTCACGATGCTTCAGGGGTTGGGCGGTAAGACCCTCAAGATTGGGGTTCAACCTTTTTTTTTTTAAATTTTATTTTAAGGGCAAATTGTATTCAAGTGCTTGGAACATTGGAATTAGAGCACATATTTTTCTCGGGAACTCTGGAATAAATGATAACTTTGAAGATTACTGCTCTCGGTAGAATCGATCCATTCATCCAATTGAAAAGAACTAGTCATTGCAGACCATGGTTCTTAAGGAGGTTCGATTGAATGATCCCTTACGAGAAGTTTGTCCAGTAAATTTACAAGCACCTTGAATGTTCTCACCTTACATAAGTAAGTTGATTTTAAAGATGACTTCGTCGTAATTGTTGATAAGTTTCTGGTAAAATTACTGTACCAATAGTTGATAAATCAGGAAATTATTAGACCCCACCTGTCTCTTAGAGAATTTTCCTAAGAATTTAATATTGATCAATTTTGTTCGTACTTTTAAGGGACCTTGCGTGGTGGGTCATTTTAATGTCACCGTTCACACGAGATACAACTTGTTGTACAGAAATGTACTGATTTGGATACTTTTGTATTGTGCAAGATTGATTGGAATATCTGGTAATATGCTCTTGTCTCTTTGATGCTCATCACAGTCAATGAAAGCAACTTTAAAGGAAAATTAATTATTTAAAACTCTCCATTTATACGACGTGGAAGCTCCCAAGGCTTGAAGAGTGAACATTATTCCTATTGGGAGACTTGCCACCAATCAGAGCTCGAAATTAATGATCGACTGAGCGTTTCAGGCACTCAGCATTTGCTGAAGATGGCCTAGCAAGAATGGAAATTTACATAATTGCATTGGCCTCTCCAAATCAAGGGATCGTCGCAAAAGAATTGCCTTGAGAAATGATCCCACAACATATATTGCAGATACAAATCAAGACTTAAATAGTGAAAATATTGAAATTTACTCCCGGCCGAATCATTGTAAAAGAATTGCTTTTAGACATAATCCCACAACATATATATTAAATACAAATCAAGACTCGTTTTTGGTCGGCTTACTACAACAATAATTTATGTGTGGAAACATCTTAAACATCTCTAATGCTAATATGGATTGTACTTAAAAAAGATTGCCACATAAGCTAAAATTGACAATATCTACAAAAACATTTCTCGAATATGAAAAGGACTATTTCTAATCAAGTGACAAGAAAAAAAATTATTGCATCTAGTACTAGTCTAGGTGACAATGGGGGGCCACTGGTGGTGCTAAAGGCATGTCTGACAATCATTATTTGGTAAAAACATTATTTTGTTAATAGTGATTTTTAGGAAAATGTGTGACTAAAATAAAAAAAATAAAAAAATTGGATTTATATGTAGAATATTCTGTTGTATGAATTTGTGATTAAAAATAAGTACATGAAAAATAGTTTTAAAATAATGATTGTCAATCAGAGACTAAATAGCATTACCAATTGTCAAAAGAACCATCAATATGTAGAGACATTTAGGTCGGGTCATCAATTTAATATTTCTTTCTCTCACTTGAATTATAGAAGGAAATCATTTGAGATAAATTTGAACTAGGATCATCTATTTGTTAGACATTAAAGCCAGGATCCTCACTTTTTAAGACCATCTAGATTACAATTCATGGAATGTATTGAAAATGCTCTTAGGTTCCCCATGCCCTCATTTCTGGTCGGCTTAAAACGAATAATTCCTTTGGCCACCTTCATCGTATAAATGATCATGAATAGTTGATACATCACTCTGTTCAAATGCAATCTCGAGGAATAGCTCAGTGGTCAAGCATTGAGTTTATTCTCAATGGTCACCCGTTCAAGTTCCTTCAGGCCCATTGAGGTGAGTACCCGCCTGTAAGTTTCAAGACCCCGTAGGATTAGTCGAGGTGCGCGTAAGCTGATCGGGACACTTACGGTCATAAATAAATAAAAAAATAAAAAAATTCACTCTATTCAAATGCCTATTTGAAATCAATTATTTGGACTGGAATGATCACAAAACTTTCCATTTTGTGCACCCATTTTGATGACTAAAAACAGATGCCAACTCTATCTTGCACGTTAGGAGAGCAATTTTGCTTTTGTTTTTTCCTAAAGAATTCAAATTACAGTTCCACTTTTTTGTATTTTAAGGGAACTTCATACAATTCTCTTCTAGATGAATTCTTACCCCACACGAATATCCAAATAGTATCTGCCAGAGATTATTTAATTACTTAACCATACATAACATTGACCAATACATCAATTTTTTCCTTCCCAATTTCCAGCAAGTTTATTATTCACTTAAATAACATAGAAAATGTTTTGGCCGGCCTCAGGAAAGGAATCAAACTATTCCTTGGACAAATTCATCTTTTCAAATGACCAATTCAAACTTCAAGAGCTCATATTCCAAGTCTGAACGGTAAATAAAATCCAAAAGGCATCACTCATCAAGTTGATGATAAGCCACAAATAGATTATCCGTTCTTAATCATGTGCTTGCTACCTGTTGTAGCTGCCGTGATTACAAGTTCTGAGCAGATTCAACGTGTCATCGAAGAAAATATAACTGCATTTATAAATAAACGAACAACTCAATTTTATGATCGAAAGCAAAATACGTACATGTTTGGCCAATATGGAATGGCATAAGACCAGGATTCTGAGTGTAAAAGTCTGATCCTGCAGTTGGGAAGCAGAAGAAAATGTTCATCTGATCATGCTTTGCTGGAAAAGAAAATCAATTCTGACATTCCAAGAAGAAGATTAAAGAACGATATAATATATCACATATATATTTATTACTATACAAAAATTTGTAAATTATTACACCTCTTACATGACAATTGCAATATGTAGCAGGGACACTGAGGGATCTAAATCCTAGCTGTAACGACCCAAGCCTTGTACTCGACCGTTCTCTTATGTACTGTCCACTTTATGATAGTACATGACAAAAAGTCATGAGGGGTAAGAGGGCAGATGCTGTCCCAAAGCGGACGTAAGAGAAAGCTTGGTCACAAGGCTTGGGTCATTGCAAAATACGCATGTTTTTTTTGCAATGACCTGAGCCTCGAGTCCAAACCGTTATATCATAGTACTGTCCGCTTTGAAAGAACTTGAGCTCATCTTACGTTCACGGCTTTTTATTGCGTCCTCAGGATTCAAGTCTTTCACATTTCCCTTAAATAAGACTTAAGTTGAATTCAAGTAGGAATTGAGCAATGGGCTTAGGCTTTCCTAATGCGGACAGTACGTAAGAGAATGGCCAAACATAGAGGCTTGTTACACTAGCACTCTCGATAGTATCTGAAACACCAATTGATCCAATTATCACGAAACAGATGATAATTAATAACTATACCTAGCCAATTCGAGCATTAATTTTCAAAGGTACAAAATCATCAGCCCTTGTCGCACCTGTTGGGAATTTACTTAAACGTGCACAGCGGAATTTAACAAGTTTCAATTCCCATTTAGGATTCAACTTTGTATTTAGATAAAAACTGTGATAAGAAATATACCTTTTCTTTTAATTTGCAAACTCCTTCGTGGTATTCCTTTCCAGCAACTTGAATCTGCCTCCCACAGCTGTCCAATTGTCCAGCCTCCAATGAAATCCACACAGAGAATAGACTGCAACTGCTAGGGTTTTTCTCTTGTGCCAGCAATAATAATGAAAACCTTATGGACCTCAAACTCTAGCTATGTATATATATAAATCTAAACGGACTCGGCCCGGTCTGGTCCAATATTTAATTAATCCAATTAATTAAACCCGGTCCATGAATTAATTAATCCAATTAATTAATTTGGGAATATAAATAACAAATCCAATTAATTAATTTATCCAACGATTGTTAAATTAACCAATTGACAATTTGCAATCTTCCAATTCTCTTTTGTGTGCGACCCATTAGGTTCCCGAACACGATGCCTAACGTCGTGAAATATTATTTTGATCTAATCAAAATTAATAAATTAATACATCCTTTTAATTTATCATCAATTCATACTCGCCGTCCCCTTATTGACATCTAGCAATGTGTCAGGGTAATACATGTGACGAAAAATGTCACGTGGTATGACAAAATCAAGTTCGTTCGTTTACCGTGAAACTATTATCCCTTCGTCAATATGATCCGATCAATTACGAGATATGAAATTGTGTCAATCTCGATCATCGATCATATCCTTCACTCCACTATTAAGTCAATATAAATCGAAAACTCCTTTTCGACTTA